TTATCCTCTTTTATTCTGAAGTACTTTAAAGCAGTTTAAAGAGTTTTTATACCTCTGCTACAGTGTTAATATCTTGAATCTCGTGCCAACCAAGTTTTATTTTATTGCTCATTGATTACTAAAATGAGTTTCAAGATCTAGTTTAGAAAAGTGATGAACTACACACTGGTCCTTGGGGGTCATTTACTGAGCAGAAAAAATCCAGTTACCTCTCTCCCCAAGGATGTCTGGGAAGCTCTTTCGGCAGACATCACTACGGACGACCTTACGGCTCAGGCCTACCTCAGGCTGCCTTATTATCATGCCATTAGAATCCGCAGCGTTACGTCGTTTGCATCCATTCGTCATTTCAGTTTAAACATTGTTCAGTGATGAACCCAGACAGCTTCCAGTCCAACTTCAGATGCCAGATAATGATAGATTATGTTAATGAAATGAGTACTTTTTGTTATAGAAAACCACAATATAATTAAATGTTAAACGGCTTAATTCTTCTGAGAAATAGATATTTTGTGTTCTATATTGTTCAGTTCCGAGAAGCATAGACCATTGAACATTCTAGCAATTTTTATGCATTCTTTTTTACTTTGTTTATTGAATAGTGAACTAACTAACCTTTGAGCTCAACTAACTGGCTGATGAACTATGAACAGAATTCTTCATCAGATTACGAATTTGTCTGTGGTCATTATGTTGTACATTGTTTTTCCAAACATCATCACCATTAGATGCAGCTTTCAGTTAAGTATTTACTACATATAAAAATATGCATACTAGTAATTCTGCATGTTTATTTGACTAAAACATTAACTTAAATAAAGATTATTAAAATTAACAACATACCATTTTATTGTATCAAGTTTTTATTGATATGCTAAATATGTACTTATGTAAACAATTTAGTATTATCTACAATAATAGTATGAATGAAGTAGGATAATATTATGAAATGGAAATTTCAACTAGGTCAGGTATGTGGGTGATCCTTGTGATTCTGGCAGAAAAGTCCTCCCACACGCTTTTGATTTCATATCATCTATATCCAGAAACAAATAAATAGATAATCTTCATTCTTCTATGTGTGTGACTGCAGGCCTAATGCAGGCTGCACGTGGACTGAAAGTTATGAATCGTGTCGCTGTAGAAAATTGAATATCATACAATACAAGGCTGGGACTGCAGGACAGCTAGGCTGTTACAGAAGGGGAGGGATTGGTATGCATGTATTTACGGGCAGGATTTCTTGAGTCAAGCTGCTGTCAGTCCTGCTCAGTGGGTCATGTCCCTGTGTGGTTTCGTGCGGCGCTTGGGGTGGCCTCTTTGGTGACATTGACACCGGAGGAGACAAATTCAGTGGGGTTTGGGTGCTGTGCAATCACATAGGGTTCTTAGCATGTAAACAGGAATTTTGGGTAAATCTGGCAACTTTTGAAATTTGAAATGAAATTTCTTTTTAGCAAAGAAAACGTGATAGTGTGATGATTGTATCATGTTAGAAAAATCAATTACTTAGTGAGGAAAATTTTTAAGCATTTCAGTGCGCCAACCCCAGTAGCCTTAAAAGCAGTGAATTCCCTCCTCAAAGCTATGTAATGGACAGCAGTGAATTACAGTACCTCCTCAAACCTCTGTAGTGGACAGCAGTGAATTACCTCCTCAAACCTCTGCAGTGGACAGCAGTGAATTACCTCCTCAAACCTCTGCAGTGGACAGCAGTGAATTCCCTCCTCAAACCTCTGCAGTGGACAACAGTGAATTCCCTCCTCAAACCTCTGTAGTGGACAGTAGTGAATTACCTCCTCAAAGCTATGTAATGGACATTAGTGAATTGCCTCCTCAAACCACTGTAGTGGACATTAGTGAATTACCTCCTCAAACCTCTGTAGTGGACAGCAGTGAATTACCTCCTCAAACCTCTGTAGTGGACAGCAGTGCATTCCCTCCTCAAACCTCTGTAGTGGACAGCAGTGAATTACCTCCTCAAAGCTATGTAATGGACAGCAGTGAATTGCCTCCTCAAACCACTGTAGTGGACATTAGTGAATTACCTCCTCAAACCTCTGTAGTGGACAGCAGTGAATTACCTCCTCAAACCTTTGCAGTGGACAGCAGTGAATTGCCTCCTCAAACCTCTGTAGTGGACAATAGTGAATTCTCTCCTCAAACCTCTGTAGTGGACAGTAGTGAATTCCCTCCTCAAACCTCTGTAATGGACAGCAGTGAATTACCTCCTCAAAGCTATGTAATGGACAGTAGTGAATTACCTCCTCAAACCTCTGTAGTGGACAGTAGTGAATTCCCTCCTCAAACCTCTGTAGTGGACAGCAGTGAATTACCTCCTCAAAGCTATGTAATGGACAGCAGTGAATTACCTCCTCAAACCTCTGTAGTGGACAGCAGTGAATTACCTTCTCAAACCTCTGTAGTGGACAGCAGTGAATTACCTTCTCAAACCTCTGTAGTGGACAGCAGTGAATTACCTCCTCAAACCTCTGTAGTGGACAGTAGTGAATTCTCTCCTCAAACCTCTGTAGTGGACAGTAGTGAATTCCCTCCTCAAACCTCTGTAGTAGACAGTAGTGAATTACCTCCTCAAACCTCTGCAATTGACAGCAGTGAATTACCTCCTCAAACCTCTGTAGTGGACAGTAGTGAATTACCTCCTGAAACCTCTGTAATGGAGAGTAGTGAATTCTCTCCTCAAACCTCTGTAGTGGACAGCAGTGAATTACCTCCTCAAAGCTATGTAATAGACAGCAGTGAATTACCTCCTCAAACCTCTGCAGTGTACAACAGTGAATTACCTCCTCAAAGCTATGTAATGGACAGCAGTGAATTACCTCCTCAAACCTCTGCAGTCGACAGCAGTGAAGGTTGTTGTTCCACAAAGCTGAATCTTCAGATTGCTCCCTTTAACCTCTTGTGACTCATTAATGCTTCAGCAACAGATGAAGAAATTGTTGAATGTTTGGTGTTTAACCTTTTTTCTTCTAAAGCCAGACCTCTCCCTGGTCGCCGCCACTAGCTGACAGGATGTTAATTGGAGGTGAAATATGACTGTCGGATGTCTGCAAGACAGCGGAGGGTCATAAATTACCAGGGGAGGAGAGCTGTTACAACAAAACAGCCAGCACAGGGCTGCCTTGCAAATGTCACTGTTTGTTTTAGGACTGGTTTGTCGCTGCATTCTCATATGAACAATTATTTCCACCACAGCTAGGGCCGTAGCCAGCTATGAGATCACCAAGGTCCGGACCTCGGTAATTTTTTAAGAGCTAAAAATAAAATTTGAAGCTAAATATTCACCTGACTAAAAAAATTATAATTATTATTATCTTACGTTTCGCATAACGAATTACTTTAAAAAAAATGTACAGCTTATGAAGGGATCAGTATCAATAATGTGATTGATGAGGCACACACCCAACCTGGGCGTCCCCCGGCCCCCGCAGCTTTTATTCACATGCGTGCATATTTTTGACAATGGATGCAAGTTGTCATACTTTTTCGCCAGCTTTAGCCACAGTTTAGCTTGCATCCTGTGCCTTCTTCAGCTGTTTTAGGACCCATAGATTTCTTGCAGAAACCTCTTGCAGCCTTTGTGATTGGGGATAAAGGAGAGCATTGTGATATGATATGTGCCTCACAACTGGCCGTTCGTAAGTTACACCTCTCTCCCGCATATCGGGCTGTGCCATAGAGATGTATCCTTGTAGCATGCAAGTGCAGTTGGCAGCACTTCCCCGTCCTTACTGGCATCCAATCCCAGCACTCCTCTGTCCCTTTCCCTCTTTTGCCTGTTTTCAGCCGTCTTCTCATCTGCTGACGTAATTCCCAGCACCCACTGTCCCCCTCATCCAAACTATAGCCGTAGCTGTACGCTGCACTACGCTGTCTATATAAAGGATATTATATGTAAGTGGCACATTTGGTGACATTTGGCTAAGGAAAGGGGAAGTGCTGAGAATAGGGGAAGGGGGAGAATTCTCTGCTTTGTTGCCTAGCAACGTGCGCTGCGTTCATCTGAAGGTGGGATGTCATGTTTCTGCAGTGAATGCGCACCATTGAAAAGAGATTACATCGTGTTACAGGCAGATGACTCTTATGCTTATTGCTGAGCGAAGCCACTTCAAAGGGAAGCTCAATCTTCTCATTTATAAAGAAACGTCCTAGCTGCTCTGCTATTGTTGCTCGAGAGTCATCGTCAGAAAAAGCTGAAACTGAAAGGCAACAATAGTGTGAAATAAGAAAGTAAATTAAGAAGGGAAATATATCTGAATTTCCCGTTCATGTATTTTGCTTTGCATGAATACAGAGGGCTAGTTCTAAGCAGGGGTGTATTTATTTGTCGACTGAATGCATTAATAATATAGTGTATATGGATTTTTTTTTACATTGCTATTTTAAATGACCACGTTTCACTGCCAGATGTGTTTGACAAGCCGGAAAGTAGCTTTGTTGACCCTACCTGTATATTTCTGTGAACATGGTTTTTATTGAAGCCATTTGTCTTTGTAAAAGAATAATCTGGTTTTATGGTAAGGTGACTGATAGAGAACTTTAAGAGCATGTTCTAATGTCATACATGACATAGGTCTTTTCGTATACAGTAGAGTTGACACCTCGTAGTCCCAGGGTTTTGGTGTCCAGTGGGTCTCCATGTATTTCGCCCTCCAGCTGAATGCCAGTTGCCACTGCAAAAATCTGCTGACCACACAAACAAAATCTACACACACAGACAACTGCTACCCACCTTTGGGTGAACAATCATTAAAGATGCTTATGTTTTTCTGTTTTTTATTTAGTTTTTTTTGTTTTATATAATCTGATTTACTCATGTATGAACATTGACTAGACTGGGTTCGAATCTTCGAGCAGACTAGGTGCGTTGACGACATCACATGACGACATCTTGTGATGACTCCACGTGAGCGACTCGATCTTCCCCACTTTCGGCTGCCACTCCACATGCCTGACGATCCTCTGTTTCCTCCCTGCAGCTCATCTCCAGTGATGCAGATGGAGCTATACAGCGAGCCGGGCGATTCCGCGTGGAGAACGGATCGTCTGACGAGGTCAGTGCAAAGGAGCATCTTCAGAGCTGGAGAGCAAAGATGTGCTTTAGGCGGACGTGGCGTAGTGCTGAACCCGGGACCCAGGATTCCTCGTAGGTGTACCATTCAGAGAATGCAGCAGCTGCATCACTCACTGTATGAGTAAAAAAATTGTGTGAAAATGGGAATTCAGTTCAGATCAGAATGCTGAATAAAAATGACAAACAACAATAATCCATTTCCCGGGTTGGTAAAGAGAAATGGCTGCTTTCTGCTTAAAACAGTAAAATTGTGTTAGAGCAGACATCATCTGACCGGTTTTCCTTCAGTGATTGTGCTCCTCTTCACTTTTGATCCTTTGCAGATTTTCATTAAATCTGAGCCCCCAAGATCTGGCTTGTAATTAAGAGTTAGGGGAATAATTCATCGTTTTCCCTGCCTTTTGATAACGAGGCTGCCAGCCACTGAAGGAGCGGGTCTTAAGCCTCCTTACTCCGCAGGCCTTCAGGACCAAGGTGCCGGTCGTGTTCCTTATCGAGATGCGTTTTCATGGTAATGTGCATTTGGAGAGTTTTGCTTATCGTAACCTGACATCACATCCAGCAGCACTGGCAACCAAATAGCTTCACTAAGACGGGCCACAGACATGTGTCTGTCTCGCAGCGCCCCCCCCCACCTGCGCTTTTGGGGGGGAGGGGCGGGTTCTGCATGTCCTTGTCGGAGTCGGTGCACTGTTACTCCACCCTAGAGGGAAAAACAAAGAAGGCACTTTGTCCATATAAATATTTTAGCTATCATCCCTGCATCCATCCTTTCAGACCTTCGGAGGGGCTTTTACGCCTCGTTCCTGTGCATCACGGGAGCCTAACAAAGAGGCCAAAGGCATAATATGTGGGTTAGTTTATGGTTGGGCCTGAATCCCTCATGTGGAGTTTGTTACATTGCCTCAGCGCAAGGAAACAGAGCACCTGACAGTCACTATGACAACATGGACCATCTCGGCGTAAATGCAGACACCCTGTCATTCCCCCCCGGCTACCCAGAGAGCCAAGCTTGCCACTTTGCTTTTTCACCGAATCTTATACTTTTAATTAATTAAAATTCCAACACTTGTGGCATCCTTTTCAGAACACTGGGTGCAATCTGTACCTTAAAATGAGAACAGGGTGCATTGCACTGAATGACTTCACACTGATTAGTAGCCAGATGTTGAATCTAAACACAGAGGGATCCTGTGATGTGACAGGCCGGTTGCAGACACCCTACATACTACCCCATGAAAGCAGAACATGGTAACTGCACTGACACTGAACAGTAAAAAACTATGAGATTTTGGTCATAACTCAGTTTTGGTAAAATATGCAGGTATGGCAGCATAGGCATCGAGTCCCGGTAGTTCCTTTGGTGAATCTGGGCTTCAGTAAGATTCCCAGGCCCGGTAGTTCCTTTGGTGAATCTGGGCTTCAGCAAGGTTCCCAAGCCCGGTAGTTCCTTTGGTGAATCTGGGCTTCAGTAAGGTTCCCAAGCCCGATAGTTCCTTTGGTGAATCTGGGCTTCAGTAAGGTTCCCAGGCCCGGTAGTTCCTTTGCTGAATCTGGGCTTCAGCAAGGTTCCCAAGCCCGGTGGTTCCTTTGGTGAATCTGGGCGTCAGTAAGGTTCCCAGGCCCAGTAGTTCCTTTGGTGAATCTGGGCTTCAGTAAGGTTCCCAAGCCCGGTAGTTCCTTTGGTGAATCTGGGCTTCAGTAAGGTTCCCAGGCCCGGTAGTTCCTTTGGTGAATCTGGGCTTCAGCAAGGTTCCCAGGCCCGGTAGTTCCTTTGGTGAATCTGGGCTTCAGCAGGGTTCCAAAGCCTGGTAGTTCCTATGGTGAATCTGGGCTTCAGTAAGGTTCCCAGGCCCGGTAGTTCCTTTGGTGAATCTGGGCTTCAGCAAGGTTCCAAAGCCTGGTAGTTCCTATGGTGAATCTGGGCTTCAGCAAGGTTCCCAAGCCCAGTAGTTCCTATGGTGAATCTGGGCTTCAGCAAGGTTCCCAAGCCCAGTAGTTCCTTTGGTGAATCTGGGCTTCAGTAAGGTTCCCAGGCCCAGTAGTTCCTTTGATGAATCTGGGCTTCAGTAAGGTTCCCAGGCTGTAGGGGATGTTGGCATGCAATGTCGCATCTGATGTGACGTTTGTGGAGTGTATCTGGAAGAGGACACGGCCACGGCTTTCTCATTAGCTACAGCATGTGTCTCACGTGCTGGAAGCCACTAGCAGCAATAAGTGTTAATGTGATGAAAACACTCCCTAATTTCCTTGCTCACGATGCTTCCAGCGACAATATCTGGAATTAAATGTTAAACAGCGACATTTTAAACACTTAAATTAATGCTGTAATTGTTGTGCCGTGTACAGAAGAAAGAAATCAGAAATTATTAATTGTGCCAGCTATGTTTACCTTTGGCTTCCTTTATAGTAGGAACCCATCGTTGCAGGAAGGATTCCATCCACGTAGAGGCAAGCCGGCTTGGTACAGCAAAGGTATTTCACTGACATCCGATAGGTCGGCCCCTTGTGACAATCTGCTGCAAAGGTGGGAAAGAAGCAATGCACGGGGAAGCAGGTGAAGCACGCCTCGTGCAGAGACTGCAAGCTCGTCACTGCGGAGGGGATGGCTGACTCACCATAGCTCTGGCAGGCCTCATATCCCCAGCCCTGGTCTCCTCACCTGGCACCCATCATTGCTGGGCCTCCGTCCGGCATGCTAATGAGGGCTGCACTCCCTGATTACCATCACGTCCCTGGGAGCCTGCGTGAGAGCTCGGCGCTGCCTCTAAGTCACAGCGTAATAGGCCATCTGTCAGGCCAGTGTCTCCGGGCCTGATTTCTACTGGTCCTTATTGATAAGCTGTTAAGCCTTCCGTCACACAAGACGGCCTGATTTAGCAGCAGGATCCATTTCCTGGTCTCGAGGTGGAGGGCAGAGGCACTGCGATGTTGTCCAGTGAGGTGTGGTTATTTAAATGTTTAACTCCGCCCATGTGTGCTTTTCTGATTTACAAAGCAGTACTAAGTAGATGTTCTAAGAATTTTGACCGGAGAACTGACTCACAGTCACAGAAAGCAACAAACATTTAAAGCTGGAAAGTATAATTCAGACTTGTAAATATTTGCCCAGCAAGGGAAAATTCACTTTTGAAATTTGCTTAAATTTTAATGGCAGGTTGTATGCATCATGAACGGCCATGAGTTTCTGTTCTGAGGTTTAAGACGTCTGTAGTGCACTGCAGTGGCTGTCCTGTGTTGTGGGGAATGCAGTGTCCCAGGAGGTAAAGCACTGCATGCCACCTTGTCTCCAGCATCATGGCTTTGACACATCAGCGCTCACAGTAGCCTTGGTTCATTGGGACACGGACTCACCATAGTACCTCAAACGCTCACAGTAGCCTTGATTCATTGGGGCACAGACTCACCAAGAGATATACTTCGAGGCCACTAGTGTCTCTCTTACATATCTTCTCTTGTTCTTTTTCAGTTGCCCTGCAACTGCAGTTTCTCTTTTTGCTGAAAGAAAAATAATTTTGAAAGTTCATTGACTGTCATAATCTATTCATGTTAAGGTATAACAAGTCATGCTAAAAAGTTTGAAAGCATATGTATTAAACTTAAGAGTGATCCAGATACCTCAGGAACTCACTGTAAATGTTATTTAAAAAGAGAATATAAAATAGTACACTTCTCTAGTAGGCGCTCCCAGATGGCTTTGACCAAGGGCAAAGTCCCAGAGCTCGGCCAGGGGTTTGAGCTGGGACTTTATCATCCATCGCTTATAAATGGCAAAACACTGGCATGGCTTCACTGGAGAAGGGAGAGAATGGAAACATGCTGTGTAAGACCCCTTCTAGGGATGCGCCGGGCACTGCGAATCGCCCACACGGCAAGCTATGCGCTCCTTCAGCATGACAAACACCGACTGGCTGACGGGAGGATGTATCAGACGAGCTTCTGCCATATGGGAAGACATAATGTTTGCTGGCGCGGACCAGGACTTGGAGAAACGTGGGCGAAGGCAGATGATATTGAAAATAAAAATGTCTTTGATGGATTTTCCTAAGCATTCACACCTACAGATGTAGCTGACAGATCGAAACTTCTAAATGTATGTATATAATGAAAGCACATGCATTAAAAATACACAGGGACCAAGGCCAAAAATAAACAGATGTATCTATAGGTCAAAACCATGATGTCATGAAACATTCAGATGTCCTGATGTGGGGGACCGCAGCTATCTGGACTGGCTGTGGGGCTTGATGAGGAATCATACATATGGTGGTGTTCTTCACTTACCTCATGCCAGTCCCAGGGTCTTGAATTTGGTACAAGTTCTAGCTGGTAGTCGGTGGCAGCGGACCAGGATTGGTGAGATGTGCAACTTGCTCTGGGCTAGCAGGAGCAGCGTAGTCATGCATGCATATGTCCTTGCAGAAGGGTATAGGGTTGACAGGCATTCAGTGATCAGAAGCTGTCCATTTGTTTTGCTATTGCAACCTGGAATCGCTCTGAGTTTGTTTGAGGGTTCAACTAGAATTGCTGGCTTGGAAAAATGAATGAAATGTATGACAACCCAAAGCTACCAAAGAAATATAAATGTCTTATCAGCTTCACAGTAATTGCAGCAGGCCGTGGGTCTGCAGTATTCATTAGGAAAGTACCCCATATTGTAGAACCAGAGCTGTATAGTTCAGGTCCGTAAAGTAAAAATCCAGACCAAGATTTTTACTCAACCAGATGAGTACTCTGTGGCTGTGATTCTTTATACTTAACAAGTTGGTTAAAACAAAATCTTGGTCCGGATTTTTACTTTCTGGACCTGAACTATCCACCTCTGTCTAGCACTTTGCCTTAAAACCAATTAAAGTGAGAGTATGATGATGTTCTCTGACCTATGATGGGGTTACGTTCTAATAAATCTATCGTAAGTCAAACATTAAGATGATATGACATACTTAGGCATTTATTAGTAATATTAGACATAAAATGCTT